ATTCACCAATTTTTACCTAAAATTTCGTACATATATTTCCCTTTTTTTTTCAGGTAATTTTTATTGGACTTTTGTCTCCGTGTAACTGATAAGGATTGCGACTTAAAGGATATTGGAGATAAGACCTGAGAGTTTCATCGAACATCCTGAAATCACCTCATTCCTCTGCCCTAGTATTGCGGTCTGCCAAAGTGCAATCGAGAATGCAGATGTGGTTTTACGCACTCGTTTCCTGGGCATGAACCGGGAAGAGCGTCATTAACCCCTTCTGGGGTTTACAAATGTACTAGTGCGTTTCTACCGCCCACCATATTAACTCCACCATCATTACCACAATTATTTTTAAACAAACCTCATTAACCGTAGGGGGATTTCATTACGCTATTTTTATCACCTGCCAAAGACCAATTCATTTCTCGAGTCATGCGATTATCTTCATGGGTATTCCACCGCTAAATGGGATGAAAATAAAAATTCAAATTCCCATTGACTAGAATAAATTCAATTAAACAAACTGCTGTTTTTATTTTGCATGTAATTGCGAATTTAAATTGAATTTTAAAGAGATAAAATCGAGTTTCCTTCACTCTCAATAACTAGTTTTATAATACCATTTTTTTCTTTCATGTATATTTATTTTTTATGAAAATAAAAATTCAAATTCCCATTGACTAGAATAAATTCAATTAAACAAACTGCTGTTTTTATTTTGCATGTAACTGCGAATTTAAATTGAATTTTAAAGAGATAAAATCGAGTTTCCTTCATTCTCAATAACTAGTTTTATAATACGATTTGTTTCTTTCATATCTATTTATTTTTCAATTGATTGTTTTTAGTAATTTTTGTACGTCGAAGTACATGTAATTGCAGTAATCACGCGATGAATTGTCGCATGACCCTTAAAATCCTAGATTATAAAATAGTTATTAAGGAATATGAATGGAAAAAAAATTGTTGGCTATCGAGACAGGAAATGATAACTTCAAGGAGAGGAAGGAAGAAAGAAAAATTTTTCTATTTTTATTTCGGATTTACCGCAAATATTTTCGCACAAAAATTCATCGCCGAATTACGCTCTAAATAAAAAGTTAAACTCTGGATAATTCCAACCGCTCGATTGAATGAAAATTTCTTTACTCGAATTTCAAACGATTTCTAACATCCGGAGTGAGTTGGGGGTAAAAGGGAGATTAAATCCGAGTGTCCAGCTAATGAAGTATAAATAAAGGATCTCGAATTGTCCCTGGGTCACCCCTTCGTAATTAAAATCCTGTCCTAAATCAGGACAGGGGGACGACGATTAGATGACCTTTTCCTTTTCCGTATTCGAGGGGTGACCCTTGGGCTCACCAACAAGTGGCGAGACCCTTTATCCTCTAACAAGAGAAATTTACAATTTAAAACTGCCCGGAGAAAAATCTCTAATGAAATTTAATCAATTCCGAATATTCAACCAGAAATCGCAGTTTTCCCACAATTTTCACTCCAAGTTCCGTAAATTTTCCGCACATTTTTCGGTACAAGAATTGAATTGTATTTGTTTCATTCCTTCTCTCAAGAAAATATAGTAGGGAAAAAAAATAATTAAAAAGGGTATTTTAATGCCGTGGTCATGAAATATTTGAGAGCTGAATTTACTCATTTCTACTTTCGAGTGAAATTAATTTTATAGGTCGAAAGTGTCCTTGGTGAATCATTAATCGGACACAACAGTATTTGATTTGAATAGCAAAATGAAATTAATTAAAAATTCGATGAAAATTTTCCAAGAAAAATCCTATTTTCTCGAATTTCAAATTCATTCCCATGAATGACAAATTCAGGGAATACTTTTTATTGAAATGAAGTTCGAACTCACCCAATCGAATATTTAAATTAACTCCTGGGTGGAATATCTTAAAATTTAAAAAACAGGCAACAATTCCGCTATTTGCACGCGATTGGGTATCGCTGGGCGTCGGGGCAATTTTTTCTAGAAATTTGAGTGTATTATTAATTTTTAAAGCACTTCGTTCCATTTTTTGACGTTTACTTCCCTTATTTATCGCGTGTACCTCACAGAAACCTCTGAAGAGAGGAAGAGAGAGATTATTAACTGCACGCGGGAGTACAGCATGGGACAGGAATTAACGGTTTTGGTATAATGCCGAATATCAGCGGAAATGCTCAGTCCATTCTCCCCTATACACGGATTATTTGTACTGGCGATGTCACGAGAATACCCCATGTCTTTTTGGCTGTTTGTGAATATTTTTTCTCTCCGGTGCTCATTTATGATCGTTTGATATCACAAACTCCAATCCTGGGGTTTAACTTTCGACACACGAACTGGGGGAATCCTTGTTTATCGTGTTTCAGGGTAATCTCTAGGCATTTTTTTATTAATATTTCATTTCGTCAGAAATCATGGCCAACAGCCAACCCCCAAAAGCCTCTCCTATCAGACGAAAACCACAGACTAACAGTTCACACGAGTGCTGCAAGACCGCGGAAAAAAATCTAGACTAACAGAATTTCATCGAGAATTTCTCTTTTTTGTTTCAAACAGCGATTGTTCCGAAAACTACTGATTTTACGATTAAACATTAAAAAACCTTTTCCGTCGGAAATTTAATTGGCTACAAAAAAGTTCCTTACGGATTTCTTCTGGAATCCATAATTATGCCGATTTTTCAATTCTATTTTAAGGCCCGGGTGGACTATCTATCGAACATCGAATTTTGTTTAAATTTTATCTTTTTAACCTAAAATACATTAAAATTGGGGATTAATTTTGTGTTACGGAAGCACTTGAATGGACATGAAAAAATAATGAAAAAAAAGAGGAAAAATTATTGAAGGGCGCTAAAGATTGATATTATTTAAAAGGGATTTACTAAGTTTGCTAGAAAATAATAAAAAATGCATAGTTTACTATTGCATCTAGCTGTCACTCAATCTTCTGGAGAGCAATGGTAAGCTGTGTAATTTTTATTATTTTTTTGTACACTCGGTAGATCCCTTTTAAATAATATCGCTCTTTAGCGCCCTTCAATAATTTTTCCTCTTCTTTTCATTATTTTTTTTATAACCATTCGAGTAGCTCCCGCAACCCAAATTTGATCCCAAATTTTAATGTATTTTAGGCTAAAAAGATAAAATTTAAACAAAAGATGACATTCGATAGATTGTCCATCCGCGCCTTAATATAATTAATTGATTGAATTACCCCACCAAATTTGGTGGTCATAATTACTGTGAATTTGATTTGAAATTTCGCTTCGTGCATTGCAAATTATTTTATTGACTTTTGGATAGCTCAATGTATATATAGACATAAAAATAGGGGATTTTGGGGTGGAGATTGCAGGAATTTCATAGTTCTGATGATGTACTTACCTGTCCGGAAACATAAGCCCTGGTCTGTTGAGGCTTTGACATCAAAAGGATTACGATGCAGAGGCAAAACTCCGGTGTATTATATTAATGAACTCTGCCTCTTTGGTACTATTTTGTGGATTGGAGACTGATACTTTGGTAGAATGAGTTCCACAAAGTTGATTTAGTGGAGTGAATTCAGTACGTCATTCCGCACTGCGGAAAAATCAAAGAGGAAGGGAATGTCCCAATTAATTAACGCTGCACCGGTTGCTACCAAATAGTGACACGCGGAAAAAAATGGTAAAACTGCTAAATTTCTTCATAAATATTCCTCCGTGTGCCGCTAATTTATTTAAAACTATGCGCACGTTTATGAACAAAGTACTCTGTGTAGCGTAGGCCCAACTCCTGATGACAAAAAAATTTTTGTTTTTTCATTTCATGGGAAAATGTACTTGATAGCCTCTGGGGTAAGTTATAAGTTACATAGGAGGAAGGACTGATAACGGATTACGCTGGCGACCCGCTAAAGATCATATCATCTGGTGCCAACCGATTTATTTATTTATTGTTTAACGGTATTATCAATTGATAAAAAATTATAGGAAAGTCGAAGCTATATTTACACATGACTTCTTACAATCTGCAAATCATGTTACAATAATACACATGAATATCAAATATGGACACTATGAACCATCATTATCATCTTCATCACGTCTATCGTAACTCGAATATAACACGTAACTCGTGGATTCCAACATGTCGAGATTTCTGCTGAATAGGGCATCAATGGTAACCCCACTGTCACTGGGTGTAATGGCTGGATCATTATTGATAATCAAACCAAATTGGCTCTTCAAAAAGTTAATGAGTGGTTGCGCCTCCGGGGTAGTGAAATTCATGTTGAAGTGTCCGCCGAAGATCATCGGTATCTTATCAAAATCTTTCTTGAGTAATGCTGCCCCCTGGACAGTGTAACCAAGCAACACCTCGTGGATGAACTCTAGGAGTTTCCCAACGCTGTGACCTGGCGACACATAAATCATAGCCGTTACAATAATCTGGTCGTTATCCAGAAGACAGCGAGCCCCACAAATTTCTCCAACTTCTGAACTATTGCTGATGAGAGAGACACTCTTACGAAAATGAATATCCATATGTTCAGTAACAATGTTCATTTTGTCGTACGCTTCATGATGAATAGCAACTGAATTGGTTCTGACACGCGAGCACTTGAACCTCATTTCACAGTTAAAGTCAGGTACTTTGAACCTGTCTTCGTCATCGGGGTAGGTCTCCAGAAGTAAAAGAACATTCGGTTTTTTACTGACGACGGCATTGAGATCAGCTGAGGCGATCATTTGAGTCTCATGATCAAATGACAGGACTGATATAGTCTTCCTCCCGATGATGAAGTCTATCAAGACCTTGTCCATGACCAGAGACTTGTCCTCAGTGAGATCTAAAAGTTCTGACGGAGTTTGGGCTAACGGATCCACTAGAGGCGCTGTCTTCCTTCCATGATGGAACGTTGAATCGTTGTTTTGGTTGATGATGTAGAGATTCGTGATGTTCGTAGCTATCGACAGCGTCGAGTAGACTTGCTGTTGTGTTTGGTTTTCACTGTATTCGCAAACCATCTCGTCGAACCTCTTGCCTTGAATGACGTCAGGCGTCACCGCACAAGCAGGGAGCAATGGAAAGTGATCGCGTGTCGCGATTATTGTCTTTTCATCATTCAAAGGAACACTCCACCTTCGTCGAACCATTGGAACCATGTTATCCCCGAACCCGTTGCCAGATCCAGATGAAATTCGTTTTCTCTTCCTGTTAGCACTTTTGTCACCACTTCTCTGAGGATTCATCACCTTTAGCCAAACCTTGGTCACCTCCCCAGACACATGACGCTCGATGCTGACTAGTTGGACAAAGGCACCAGCAACTAATCCAATTCCAACATCATAGTTTGTCGTCACCATATACAGCTTGAACATGACGAATATGATTTCGTAAGGAAGCCCACGAGTCTCGACGATCGACATCTTGAGGAACTCCTGGACATATGTTTCTTGCTCATCACTGCTACAGCCCATGAGAACGTCATTCGCCGTCGAAACAATCTTGTTCTCAGCAGAATCGAGGATCGTTCGGTTGTAATCGTTAACCGACTGGTGAGATTGAAAAATTCGGATTCCATGCGGACAAAGTCGATCAGCTTCTTCCTCGGAGAAGAATCGAGACTCGAGCAATCGCAACTCTGAATCTTCGAAATTATTGCCAGCTTTCATTTTAGTCAATATCACTTTGAATAACGCGTTGGACTGCTGCATAACGTTCTTCAACTCCAGGAACTTGAGTGTATTCAATAAATTGCTCGACGACACGAGTTGAACCGGTGGAAGCTTCGCCAGCTTTCCAACAAGAATCACACTCATCCTCCCAAAATTTAGGTCGAAACACCCAGTTATCTGCTTGAGTTTGGTATCAATCTGCGCCACGACGCTGGCACCGATCGCATCCACTTCATCGATAACGACAATTTGAATGGAATCGAAGAGATCTCGAAATTGCTCAGCTCTTTCGACGGACAACGATAACATGTTAGGAAGCGAAGTTCTGAGAATTGTTGAGATGGCTGAACTGGTGCCAATTTCGATCTGGTTAACTGACGAGTAATTAGTGAAGATACCGCAATTTTCGTCGGCGTTTTTGTAACGATTATAGATTTCTGTCATAATGCGCATGATGAATGGCTTTGCAGATGATACTGAACCACTCAGAAAGACTTTAAATGGTGAACCAGTCTTGGTAAGAAGGCCAAAGAGAATGGAATTCGTGTTAGACTCATCTAGCATCTCCCTCTTCACGAAGATCGGTGAGTCCGATGTTACAGTGCTTGAGTCGCTCTTGTAATCCATCTCTGAAACCACGGGATCAAGTCCTGCCAGAGGATCTGATTCTGGTTCAATGGGAATCAAAATTGGCACCTCAACTATTTCATCCTCGACCGCCTCATCACGAAACTGTCTGAACTTGTTGATGGTGCTCTGAACATCCAGGTCAGACTCGAAGTCTCGTCGCTGATCGAAAATCGCTTGCTCGTGCTTATTGTAGAGCTGAATGAATCGATTGTTAGCAATGATGTCTCGTTGTTCATTCCGAAAAGGTACGTGCAGCGTCACCATCTCCCGTCTGTACTCATCAGGGTCCGTCATCATGTCATAGTTGTGATAACGTATGAGGCAAGGATCCCTTCGTCTCACATAGCTCGAGTTGTTGAAATTCCTAGTGTAGTTTGCGACGAATTGTGCAAGAGTAACATTCTCAAGATCCTTCGGCCGCTTCTCGTACTTATCGTACCAGTTCTCCTTCCAAACCTCTGGGGAATCCTCATCTACGTCCAAGGCAATCAGTTGGTGATGGTTCTTCCTGATTTTGGGTCGCTCCGAAGGTCGCACTGTGGGAATGTAAATCACCGGAGTCGAAGTCTTTGATGTGGGCTCCCGAAGAAGATACCAAGCAGCTTCTTGTGTTGTGATTTCAACAGTCCTCAGGATTTCTGCGCTGAGTTCCTTGGTGATTTCAGTCATGTTGAAGGTTGGACGGTCCTTCATTATCCCGAGAATTCTTCTTCGCAGATCACTGATCCCTCTGTTAGCCTTATTTAGATAATCTGCAACGTAGTCAGCACACGAAAACTTATCGGAAATAAAGTCAATATTCATATTTGCGTTAAGAATGTTGAGAATGAATGGATTGAAGCTTTCATGCCACGTCTCACTGGGTTCTCGTTTCACGAGAATTTTTGGTCGATCGATTCCAGCTCGAATGATGTCTACGTAGTGTTCATCAGATGTAATGCCATTTGCATCATAAAATGAATCAAAGTCCACGTAATTGTTGATCTCCAGGTTCTTCCTGATGATCTTGTAATGCTCAAGATTGATCACGTACCTGACGTCAGTCTTGAGATGAGGTATTAATACCATTGTTGTTCGACTAGGCAGGAAAGGAGCTCCAAATTTACATGCCCCAGGCCCAATTCCACTCTCTTTAGTGTAACATTGAAAAGTGTGACGATGAATTTGATGCTCGATGAAGCCAGAAGCTTCTTGCCGTGAAACCGAGATGAGTTTATCGATGAGTTTGAGAGTATGTCCTGCGTTGGCGCCAAGTGGATCCTTCGGATCCTTATTGAGCCATAGGAGGATACGAGCCTGAGGGCTTCCGTTGTAAAGGAACTCAATGTGTTGGAAGTAATGAGTGACGTGGTACTGCTCGAAGGGATTGCTCTTCTTTGACTGGAGAATCGTCATGAGAACATTCAGCAGTTTACTGAAGTAAATAGCACAGGTGACAGTGTCCTCGTTGACAAGAAGACTTCTGTCAACGAGATCCAACTGCGACGCTTGCCTCTCTGAAATCTCAACCCCATGCTTTAGTCTGTACAGCAGCTGAATGAGGGGAAGCCAGCCGGTTTCATTGGTACTGAGAGTCAGAGACATCGTGGGTTTTCCCAGTTGTCTCAACATTGTAAAGAGATCTCGTTTGCGCTCTGCCCAGTACCAACTGGAATTGGGAATGCATTTCAGAAAGGCAAGATTCGTCTCCAGACTATGGTTTAAGTACTCCTCAGAGAACATGTGCTCTCTGACAGCATTCCAGTCTTTCCCCACGAATTTACTGGTAGCACTGAGGGCGTCGTGAACTCTCATCCTCATTATCTTCATCGCCATGTAGAGAAGATGTTGAGGAGTTACTCCACGACGATCTGTTCGTCGCAGCTCACTGGTGACAATTGTGAATGGTGTGATTCGAAAGCCGTCTTTGAAGATTCGAAATTGACCGAGGTAGATGGTTGGGAACGAGAGCTCTTCAGCGTGATCATCAAATAGCATACTGTACGGTACGTTAACCTCGCTCGATACATTCTGCAGGTATTTATCGACATTCCACAGCAGCGTCTGTTGCTGGGAATAGAGATTGATGTTCCTCTCCTTCGGAATATTTTCTAAATTGACAACCGGCACCTTGTCAAAATTTTTATCATCGAAGAAGGGCTCATAGATCTTTATGTCATACGTCGTGTAAAGGGGAGTTGTCAACAAGTAATCCAACCAAACCTGAATGTCCGGCTTGTTAACAAAGTCCATCAGCTCAGCTGACTCGTAAAGTCTCTTCTGATCCAGTCTCACATTGATGCAATGATCATCAAAAAGACTCCTAGGCAACTGGTACACCATATTATTCTCAGACACCGGGACATTGACAATTTGCGTGAAAATTTCATCCTGATTTTGTACATTTCGCAATCGTCTGATCTGCAGGAATGGAATCCTTGGGGAAATCAGTCTCTCTGATATTGAGTTCAATTGAGGTAGATGCGGTGGTTTATCCGGGTACTGAAACCCATTGAATTTTGCAAACGTGGGGATGTTATCTCGAGCCAGTGCCTGAATACAGCCTTTGCAGGCAGAGAATTTACTGACATCCTGACTCGGAAATTTCCTAGCTATGATTTTTTGCTGCTGTAGAGTTAATGTTTTCAATTCGCTCTGGAACCACAGCCGATCGCATATGTCGCAGGTCAAACCGAATGGATTGTCGTGAAATTTATTTTTAAAATATCGATGTGCACTGGTATCGGCACCAAAACTTGCGTATGGTAACGTTGGTCTAGAGGTACCTGACTTTCTCGATCGTCTCGTACTTGTCGATGGTGTCTCCCTGGCATTATCAACCGTTGGAGAGACATCAGCCGGTAAAGAAGATTGTCTCAACGTTTCTGAGGTCGAGGCTCTCTGTCTCCTCTCATCTCGCGATTCCTTTGATCTTTCGAGTGCACTCCTTGCAGATTTTCTCGCTAATTTTTGGGCACGCATTTTCCGAAACCTCTCTTTACCCAATCTCCTCACATTTGGCATTCTTTCTAAAAAAAAAATAATAAAACAATAAATTAGTCGTACTGGCAGCATGTCGACGCAGTAATAACACAATAATAACAAAGCAACATAACCTCGAAAGTTATATGGAGCTATCGAGAAAACACCGGATCACGTGAATGCATGAAAATACGCGTTGTCTAGGCGGAACATTCAGATTATTGGAAGATGTCACTTTGTTCTTGATGATACATTGGGTACCGTGAGCAACACGTGCAAATGATAGATAAACAAAGGCAGATATGATGAAATTGGGGAAATACCAACCTTGATCCTCACGTTGTACAGTGACAACATAACTGATGTTGATCCAATTGACTTCTATTGATGCACGAATTTCAAAATTCTGGTAAAATCACTGAGACTATAACTCACGTTAATGTTTTCTACGGAAAGTCCGGCGGTAAAATTCACCACTGGTACACCACGACGTGCGGTAACTACGACTCATGGAAACACAATGGCGCAAGCGTCAGACAGAGACAACAGAATTTTCTGTCCTTGACAACATCCGGACCTTTTTGTTCATAACAAAATTCACTTCATCTTACACGATTTATCTCTACAGAAAACTTCAGACAAGCTCTAGCAAGTCCCAATAAGTGTTTATTCAAATTTATTTATAGATTACCCTTTCTCTACAGTCTGAAGTTCTTCGTCTAAAAAATTGAGTGCAGACGCCGGAGGAGGGCAGATTAATTTACTCGGATGAAGAAGCTGTTTTTATGGATTGGAGAGGAATATCTGAAGTGGTTTGAATTGGAGTATTTGAAGTCTTTTAGGGGGGAGTCGATGAAGATGGGAGAGTGGAGAGGAATTTTTGTTGATTTTATCGAAAAAGGGATTTCAGTGGAAGAAAATGGTCTCTCATGCTTTCGGTCACATGTGCCGGGTGTGATGGAGTCGGTCGGTTATTGAATTGCGGTACAGCGATTTCCCGCTTTATCAGTGGAGTGTAATGTTTGATGGTACGTCAGAAAACTAACGATAAAGGCTGATGGAAAATAGCAGAGAACAATGAAAATGATCAGTATGTTCGAATATGGCGGAGGGAGTGGAAGTGACGTTTTTCGATCTGCGAGTGGTTCATGATCATTTCGATAAAGCCCTCATTGAGGATGATGATGTCAACATCAGGGCTTATCTCGATGCCTACAACGAACTTTATAAGTGAGTCCCTTGAATTTTTTCATTTCTATGTTTTTTCATCGTTCCAGGTATTTCAAACTGGGCACGTGACTAATAACTGACAAGTGAACATCAGGACAAAGTCGATGAGTGGTGGGTAATTCTGTGGGTAAAAGTGATAGAATTATTTTGTGGGAAATATCTCGGAGACTGAGGGAGACAACGAAATTTTCGCCAAGACACTTTTCGAGCAGATACTTGAGAGCAACAAAAAAAGTTATTACAAAAATTTCGATATCTTGCTTAGTTTTGGTGATATTTTGGAAAAACCGAAGGAGTTTTATGTTAACACCTTTATATTGCCACTTTGTTACTGAAGTATTGGGAATTCAGCTCTTGTCATGGAAAATTGATTTTTTTTCTTTTTTCAGGTTCTTTCAACTTATGGGAAGTGTTTTCAGTTTTGTTTCCGCCGATTTGAAGCAGAAAATTGATATTCTTAATGATTTATTGAACAAAGAAGAGGAGAAGTATCAGACTGTTAAGTCTATGATTGAACATGAGAAGGAAAATAACTTATTGGAGAAGGGGGATTACTCGAATGGCGCTAGGACACTATTGAGACTTCATAGAGGATTAGGTAATGCTTTTTTATTGAACTTCATATTTACATTACCTTAGCGACGTGTGTGCAAAAGGAAAATCAGTAAAATAATTCAGTTATTCATTATATTTTTATAAAACATGAGAAAAAATATCGGTGGATTTTATCTTCTGAATTTTTAGATTTTATTAGAGAATTTCTGAGACAATTGGGGGATCTTTCCGATGCTGATAAGACATCACGCTGTTGTCAGGATGCTTACAACAAAACTCTAGCCAAACATCATCCATGGGTCATAAGAAAAACAGCTGTTGTTGCAATGTACACGATGCCCACGAGGGAAATGTTGCTCAAGAAGGTAAAACAAGTTGCAATATTGGAAATAAATTCTCGGTACGTGGAAGGTGAGATAAGATAACGGCAGACTTAAAAGGAGACGTGCTTGTATTTGTTCTGCAACGACATGTGTGGAATAAAACTGTAGAATCTATCGTATCTAAAATATTCCATGAGATTTCGATATACTGCGTAGAAAATCCTGAAGTCCTAAATATTCTAAGAAAAAAAAATAGATTACTATTTTTACATATTCTTAATATTTTCTTCATTTTGGAATTTTCAAGTTTTCAGTGACGCTTTTTCGAATTGACAACATTTCGAGTCGAATTAAGACTGAGAAGTCCTTATAGAAAATATATTTAATGAAATAAAGATGAGACTCTGTTAATTTTTTGTGTAACAAATTTCGGAGAGAACGTCCCGATTTTAGAAATTAATGAATTTCTCGAGTAAAGAGAAGTCCTTCGGAAATTCCATGAATCTTATTAACAAATGTAATGAGTTTATTATTTTTTCCTCAGGTGTGTGGAGATAACGTTCAACGAAATGTTGATGTTTTACCAAAAATGTTGGAAGTGACTGCCGACATATTTAATCGTACCCATAGTCTTTATGATCTCCACGAGCTGCACGAATTACCTTAAAAGTGTTCCTATAATATCAAAGATTTGAATTGGCATCCGTGAATGATAATTCAATGTATGCATTCTCGTATTAACCACGGAATACCGAGATCGAATGGAGCTCCCATAGCTTTATTAAGCTTTTGTATTAATTTTTAAAAAATCAATGTAAAAATAACATTCCACGTAGTCCCACCAATGTTCATCACGCGTGAGAAAAATCTCATAATTATTCTTGGATTTAAACTAACACTTTGCATTGCGTGTAGTTCTCCTGTAATGTGCAATTTTCAATTTGCCTTCTGCCCTTTTGCAAATTTTCACAATCTCCGTTGGTAAATAAAAATCGTCAGGATATAGTAATTTGTATTTTTTTTTACAAGGAATGTAATGAAGGGGACAGTACAATTTCAATGATAAAATATCAGTGATGGTTATTGTGAGTATTGTTGAGTGATTTTTATAGAATTAAGTTATCAACTGCTAGTAGTCATTGCACTCATCGTTGTTGCATTAACAGCTGGCGCGTAGAAATCTTCATTCATGAGCATTCCTGCAAGAATTATAAATTATAAATGATTATTAATAAAAAATAAAATTTACCTAGAACGATTATCTATAATGTAAATGAATAAGTTCAATATTTTTTTTGTTTTCTGTTCAAATATATAGTATAATAATATAATTTATAACTTGCGTAAAAATCAACCATTTCATTAAAAAAATAGGTAATGGTTTTTTCTTCATAAAAACCCAAAAAATTTACTTGTTTTTAATGTTGAACCATTTTGTTATCAAAATAATTCAAGGAATTTATTAAACAAAAAAGTTTCCATCCAAAGCCAAAGTGGCAATATAATCTAAACATCATTCGGAGAAATTTTTGATGCAGAATTTTCGTCTAATCATTTATCATATCAATCATTGAAAAGCTTGACAAGGCAATAAATAAATAAATTCAAACAATGCATCCACCATTAGGTGCATACGAGATTTCGCTGCTATCACAAGTTAGCGCCGTTCAATAATTTCTCCTCTTTCTTTTCATCATCTATTTATAGCCATTCTCGCGGTTTTCGCAACACAAATTTGATTCCAAATTTTGATATACTTTAGGCCAACAAGATAAAACTTGAACAAAAAATAAAGTTCGATCGATATCCATGTTTTAAAATTGTATAAAAAGGATTAGATTGAAATTTCAGGATGAAGTACAAATGACTAGAGTTTTCTGGAATATTTCAGACCATCTGAATCCACTCCAGGATGTTCTTTAATTATTCAGAATGTGTATTAATTACCGGCAATTGATGCTGTCAAAAAGCAAACGGCGGAGCCAGCGATGAAAGCTCTGATGGCCACAGAAGCAATTTGCTCGCGTTTTTCTGGTGCTATAGATCCCAGCGATCCCATCATGATTCCAATGGATCCAGGATTGGAAAATCCGCAAATGGCGAATGTAGCGATTCCCTCCACCCGAGGGGTGAGTCTCCCCTGAGCTTTGAATTCTCCGAGTTTCTGATAGGCAACAAATTCGTTGACCACTGTTTTGAGTCCAATGAGGGTTCCAACGTCCTCACACTGATCCCAGGGGACTCCCATTATCCAACTCAGTGGCATAAACGCTTTGGACAGGAGATACTCGAATGTCAAACTGGGAAAACCAACGAGGCCTCCGATCCAGGATAATATTCCATTCAAGAACGCAATGAACGACACAAATGCCACAATATTTGCAACAATTCCAAGGACCAGGGGAATCCCCGCCAGTGCCCCTTTCGTCGCTGCGTCCATTACACTTGTGTCCTCTGATTTCTGGAGGGGAATATTTCTGAATGTCGTTTGACTCTTCTCGGTCTCCGGGTAAAATAATTTTGAGTAACAAAGTGCTGCTGGTGCTGACATCACCGAGGCTGTTATCAGGTGCGAGGGTTGAGCGCCAAAGCTGATGTATGCTGCCAAAACTGTTCCCGATACTGTCGCAAAGCCAGAGCACATGATTGCGTGAATTTCGGATGTTGTCAGTTTCGAGATGTAGGGTTTTATCAGCAGTGGTGATTCTGTCATTCCGAGGAATGTGTTGGCAGCTGAATTCAAGGATTCACAAACGGTCGTTCCCATTACCCAATGCAGGGCCCAACCCAGTTTCATTATGACCCACTGCATTGCACCCCAGTAGTACAAAATTTGAATCATGAAGCTGAAGAAAAATATCACAGGAAGTACCTGAAAATTAGACGCGTTGAAAATAAATTAATCCAAATAAATGCGTCATAAAACTTCGTGCCAAAATAACTCCAGTATTTGAAACTTAATTCCGGAAAATCAGGATTCATTTCGGAAAATTGAGCAGTTGTTTTGGGACTCATGTGAGTTGCCCGGGTGATTCGTCTGTGTTGTGTTTATTTACAATAAGTATTTGTATCAGGTGCGGACACCGAAGAAAACTTATGGTTTGTTTTGTTTTGATATAAAAGTGGTGGTAATTATTTACAAGATAGAGGAATCACTGCTGAGAGATGTCTTTCAAATTCTTCGGTCTTTTTGGGTGATTTTTTTTAATAACTTGTCTCATTAGAAGTTCTTCTTGTTCTAATTTCTTTTCACCAAGTTTTTTCGCCACAAGTTGCGTTTCATTTTGACTGGAGTGTGAGTTTTAGCGCAAATTTTTGAGACATCGACCTATGAAATCTGGAGACAGTTAAACTCCAACAAAAATTTCTAGATTTTAGTTTTAAAAATGTTGTTAACGTACAGAGAAAGCGAAGACTCCGTTGTCAACAAGTCCAGGTGAGAATACAAAAGTCGCACCATCCTTCGCATAATCAAGGAATTGTGCAACTTTATTTGCTATACACTCGAAGATTTGTCTGCCAATCGCCCACCGAATGGTTATCAATCCAAACACGAACTGGAGGATTACTCCCCAGATGACAGGTCTCCAGTCGATCTACGATTATTTAATTTACACATGTGCAACAAGCTATTTGTTAATTTATTCATACCTTAGTCGGATGCTTCGAGAATACGAAGCCAAAGAGGAGTATTATTGCAAAACCAACGCCACTTATCAGACGATCTCTCGAGTCAATTGTATCATAAATTAAGAAGATCACTAGGGCAATCAAGAGTGTCACGTAGAAACTTGTTTTCAGGGAACGAGAGAGACAACTGAGAGAAAACAAATTAATTATTAACAGAAAATAAATGGATTTTGATTTAAAACTTTTGAAATATTTACCTCTTCTCTCGAATCGATCGAATGCAGCAAGAAATCGGAAAAAATACTGCCTGGATGGTATCACTGAGGTATCTTTTGATAACGTAAAAATAAAAAAGACTTAAATAAACTATTCCCAGGAGAATCAGGAGCATTCCATATCCGTCGCACCATTCTAGTGCACAATTTTTATCTGCAATAGAAATCTATGAAAACACATGCCAATTGTTTACTGACTATGAAAAACAGATAAATTAACTCACTGTTATTTTTCCAGTACAGACCAGCGAAAACAGCGTAAACTAGAATAATTGCGTGGAGAATGGAGTATTTAATAAATTTGACAACTCTCCGGTTCTCAGAAAAGCAGGAACTCATCGAGGTTTTTCCCCGTGCGAAACAGGAAGTTGAAGACTCTGGTTCTTTGTCATATTCCTAGAAAAAATTGATTAACTGTTAACAAAAATAATTAATCATTAACAGCAGAAGTTCATATGGATAGCAATTTAGTTTTTAAAAATTGAGTCAATATTGACCAAAATTATGTGTCAACCTCATTTTGAAAATGAATTTCGCTTTCTTCCGAAGCTTTTTATTGCTCGAGAGAATAAATTGCAAGATTTATTATGGTATGGTTATCGTCTCTGTTTGAGATAGAAATAACGAGTCGTTGAAATGACGATAATGAAGATAAAGAGTTGATAATCAGTGATAATCAGGTTTACCATGTCGTCGACACTTCCGACGAATTTTTTCATCCCGCTGGGAGGATTTGCATTGTTCTCCTGTAATCAACAATTTCAATACTCTTATCATTTGAATTTGGATTCTTCGAGATTTTACGTACCGGTGATAGGTCCAGGGATATTCGCAGGCTGTGCTTACTTATTTTTCGTTCTACCTATAGCAACAATTAAAAACAAATTGTTACCAATCTTGCACTAATAACAATTGAACAATCACTCAACTCAAGAAACGAGTCGTTTGCATGAATTTAATTTATTCACCTCAAACAAAAGTCAATTCAAATTCACACTGAGACGCGATACAATAAATTACCTGTTATCAATAAATACATAATTTATTGAGTTTGAGTAAATGATAGTCTTGAATTAAACGGGTGATTTCGCGTAAAATAATCGGTTGAGCTCTGCACTGCAGAAAATACGTACCTCATCGAATACTGAAACTCCCGTCATTTTCCTTATCTGGAAAATCTCGGTTTCTTAATCATTCACAATAACAATTGAACGGACTAGAATAAAATAAATCCAAGGATTGACACTTGTAAACAGGAAGAGTCATAAAACAGTTGATGTTCAAAACGGGAGAGTCAATGAGGTAGAGTCAGTAATTGATATTGAGGAAATAATTGCACTGAACATTCCTGTCTTCTTGAATATTGAACTGACGAGTTCACGTTGACGAGGTTCGACGTATACTGATGAGGATGAGTCGAACGTGATAGGAGTGTCTTAAGCCCGCTAAATTATTGTAGGGCTCTGGAAGTGATTTGCCGCGTTATTGATAATCAGTTTTGATAGGCGGAATCGACTGATGTTAAATAGGAATTTAAGAATGGAGGGAATTAATTGGTGGACGGGATTAGAGTCAATAAACCGATTCTTCGAAGATAGCACGCGAAAACATTTGTTTGAAGTTCTCCTCAGATTCTGTTTTATCAATTTTTTCAATTTTTCACACTTTTTTTATGGATTTTTTATAGATAATGAGAGAATTTTCACGGATTTTCTTAAGTTATATAAGTGACGACGTAAATAAGTATTTGAAATAATAATAATACTGATTGGGGATTAAAAACAATCGTTTCACCATAATTAGTCGAAAAATGAGAGAAGGACAATAAATAGCTTTTTCACTTGGTGTTCATTGATTTTTTTTAACGAGAAAATTAAAAATGGTTTAAAGTATTCAATTAATAAAATAAGTATTGAACTTAATTGAAATACTAATTGGAGATTGGAAAAATTTGTGTCACAAGAATTACTCGGAAAATTGAAAAAGAAAAGGATTTTTCCGGGTGAGAATTTTTTTTATTGATGAAATAACTTTTAATATGATTGTTTATACCGATTCACAGCCACTTGTCAACTGACAGATTGCGTTTTTTCCTTCGCGATCGGATTTGTGGAAAGAATCGACAATTCCCACGAGTTCTTCTCGACGACTGAGAATATTCACGAGATATTCACAGTATTTTCCTCTTCGTAATTATTGCGTTGGACGTGGTACCCTGGCGCCTCGAAAATTAATTAATTGAGAAATTATTGGATCAACGAGATGAGATATATTTTTCCCACGCTTTGATGACCGAACAGGACACGTGTGACAATAGCGCGTGTCATATGAAATTCATAACTACTACTATCTATTTTCAAGTGACGCAATGCAGTAAGTACTCATTACCTGAGGAATCGTGAAATTGCGACACAGTGGAACGCAAAGTGTTATCCGGAAAAAAAAACAATTAACGTTTAATTGGGGAGCTTTGAAGATATCCAAGGTTTTTTTTATTTATTATTCTTTTTTATTTATTTAAACTCACATACAGAATAAATTTATTTAATCAGTTATTATTAAACTAGACTAGACTTTGATTAGAGAAAGAAATTCGCGAATACAACTCACCTCTCTCATATTAAGGAAATATGTCAATTTCTAACCGAATCCAAGGTCTTAATGAAATTTTTTCCATTTTGAATTTTTTCTGTTTAGACTGATTAGTTTTTTGGAGTTTTCATCAATTTTTTATTAGCTTTTCTCTTAAAATTAATATTTACAAATGTTTCAATTATTTAATAGATGAATTTCATGATTAAAATCACTTCAATCGATCCTTAATGTCTCGAATTGTTTTAGAGATGATTAAATACAAAATTTGATTATTGTTATAGAAAATCTCGAGAACCTGACGTGCAGTGATAAATATTTTTGTTTTTAATTGAAATTGCCAGGACCCAGGAATTCAATGAATCATTAACATCTCAAGATGTTATATCTAACTATAATTCAATAGATAATTCAGATTATTATCATCAAAAAATGTCCAGTATTTGAAGCAGCGATAACTCGAGACAAACTTCCGGAGAAGTGTTATGGCGACGGATTAATCGGATCTCAACGAGAGAAACGTAAAATGATAAATGATATTATTTTCTCTTCTCATTTCCTTCTCGTCTACACTATTCTGTCCATCACCCTGGAGAAGATAAAGTCAAATTTCTCCAGATGCAAGCGACTTTTTTCTTCCGCCATGAGAAAGCGCTCGTCTGACTCTCAAGTTGCCACAAAAATGCGTTTGTTCCGGATGACTGAGAGAATAAATCAACTTGACAATAAACCAATTAAGATAATTGGATCAATAAAATAAAGGAAGTATGAATTTTTACTTGAAAATAGAAGATGCTTGTGAAAAATAAAACTTCTCATACTGATCAGCAAAATTTCGTCCTCGCACGGGGGATTCGTATTTCCATTAGCAAAAATTCAACGTCTCCGAATATTTGTGGTTTATCAACATTATTTCTCATTTCCGGCTATGAATGAACAATAATATAGAAAATGGATTGGATTACACGTACGACGTACTGAGATAAGCCATGGCCTAGCGCAATTAGGAACTCGGTTTCTTCCTGAGAATCAGATTGCCGTCGCGACAAGATAACATCTTCAGCGTTGGAAAAACACACTAGAATCCCAAGTGAAAAACTGTTAATTCATTAAAACAATACAGTTTATTATTTAAACAACAATTAAAACAATTCCCGCACACAGAAAAAAAAATAGTAAAATGTGGTAAACCTGTCTTTTTGCGATCAAAGATATTTTTTTTTATTACCTTGCATTAAAAACAATAAACAATATTTCTGAAGTAAGTAGCTGTTTATTTAATCTGTTAATTTAATTTTTTGATAAACAGAAAAATGAATAATTTAATTCTATTATATTACGATTTTATGACTATTGAGAAATTTAAAAATAGTCTTCTAATCTTAATATATGTAGATAAATAATTAGTTGAGGTTATCAAAAATATTTCTAAATTAAAGGTATCCTCAGGCGTATTTTATAAAAATATTATCACTGCACGTCAGGTTCTCGAGATTTTCTATAACAATAATCAAATTTTGTATTTAATCATCTCTAAAACAATTCGAGACATTAAGGATCGATTGAAGTGATTTTAATCATGAAATTCATCTATTAAATAATTGAAACATTATTTTAATGAGAACTAATTTTACATTAAAATTTTTGGGAATAAGTAAAGTTGCAATTAAACTCCAAAATTTTAATTAGTTTTTAATTAGTTTTTATAAACAAATTTATTCAATTCAATATTTAGCATTAATTTCATTTGTTAGTTTCAAAAAAAAATTAATTTCCATTTATTAATTTTTTTCCTCAGTGCGGGGAATCCATCATTAACGAATCAATCAATTAATTAATTACCAATCAATTAGAGCCTTCATGGATGTAACAAATTATTTTTTTTTATAATCCCCTCTGGTAGTTGCTTTATAAAAAACAAAATATTATCCAGTTAAATTAATTCCATGACAAAATGATAGATATGGAATTCTTATTTTCTAACTGTGAAATTGGTCTCATGGTGCAATTCTATTGGCCGACATTTGGGTCGGAAAAATAATTCCTGGAATACCACACAAGCTTTAAAATTATCCGGCATTTCCCTCACGATTCTCTGCAAACAAATAAAGTCATCATGTTCTTCAGATTATAAATTGACGAGTGCGAAGCGTTCGTTTGCACCGAACCTATCAAGAAATCCCCGACAATTTTCAAGCTGTGGTATTACAAGTAAAAATTCTGTTCTATTTAATGTTTAATTAATAATTAATGTTGAATTGATCAATCAATTATAATATGACAATCCAATTATCCAATCCAATTGAATTTTCAGGATGAATGAGAAATCTAGTGACGATTTTAAACTGAAAAAGAATTCAAATTTGTGGAATTGAAAATTAAATAATGCTTTTGGATTTATTTCTTGTTGATAGCAGTGACAATCGATGTGTTCCATGAATTTAGTGTATACCGAGTCGATGAACAATGGAAAAAGCCCAGACAATAGCACATCCAACAATAAACTAGCGAATCGATCAACATCAGATCCATTTTGTTTCTATTCTGCACTATTTCTAACGATTTACCCTGAATTTCCAAATATTTACGTAATGAGAGAACATGCGCAGTTCCAATTTTATAACTATCCCAAGGACACTCGAGTCGTTGGAATATTTATTGGATTATTTGTCGGCTTTCTTGGTATTCAATCATAAAAATTTCATAAATTCGACAAAAATATTGCAATTGCTAGGGAAGATCCGGGCAAAATGGCACACAAGATAAAATGATCGAGGACAGAGAAAAAATCTATCGTAAGAATCAATTATCCAACATTTCAGGTTTTCCAGAATTTTATTACACTAATTGATTATAATTTCAATTAATTAATTATAGTTATATAATTCAATTCGAGAAAAACATTAGGACATTTTTAGACTGTTTCCATAATTTTTTGACAAAAAAAAAACAAAATTGCTGGGAATGAGATACAAATACTGTTCTGTAAGTATTCTATATCACAATAACCGCAAATACCCACCCCCCGTGTCCCCTTTTGCCCTAAATATTTCTTTGAACTGAAAAATGAAAAAAGAGAAAAAAATGTTCTAATGGATTTTATTCACGATAAACAAATTCACCGCCTCAGAGCTGTGACAATCAAAGTGACAATCTTTTTCGTACAATCGTAATGTATTTTCGTGGTTAGAAAAATAGTGGGTAATCACTGACATTAATTACCTATTGGTAATGACTAATTGACAGATTCAGCAGAAAAAACAAGACCTTCGGATTTAAATTGTAGTCTAAATCCCGTTATCTTTCATTATCTGCCAATGAGTCCTCAAATGATGTCATAAATTGTTTATCCCGGTACTAAATAAAATATGAAACATTAAGTTTCACCTAAATTTAATCTGTTAATCTCTGAACTTTCTACAGGCCATCAGAAAATCTAAAGACACCATTAAGGCTACAATTACCTAAAACCTACAAATAATTCCGAGAACTACGGAATTGCAAGTCCAAATGTCAAAATGGTAATTACAATTATGAGAATCTTATCCGTGCATTAAAGAAAAAATAAAAGGAAAGGTAGATATCATTGTGGAATGCCATTCAAGTAATTACACGGAGAGAATAATTGAAGAAAAATTACGCAATAGTTTCGTAATTTTCTGGCAAAATGCCAATTCACGAAAAAATTGAGGTGTGGACTGGAAAAAATTACTTCTACTAAATTAATTCATAGCGCCCAAGGAAATGAATAATTAAGTCAATTAATTATATTTTATATATATTTTATTTATTTATATATAAATATAAGACACTTTTGTTTTTTATGATTTTAATGAATGAATGAATTAGAATTTGATTTTATTTTTTGCATTTGAAATGTTTAGACTTGCAACTTTAGCAGACACTGAAAATCTAGAATATTTTCTCATCATTGAAATAAAAAAAGAATAAAAAAGTTTCATGGGTGCTGTAAAGGGTGAAAATGAACGAAAATTATTTAAAAAATAGATAAACAAATAAAGAGTAAAACAGATAAATAAAAAAAATAATTTCGACTAAATACCAAATTATTCTGAAATTCGATAAACAACAAAATTTAAACAAATGTATCGTAATCCTCGATCTTTCGTGGCCGGTGCGTGTCGATCCAACGCATGATTGATAAATGATAATAACATTGAAAAAAAAAGCGAGAATTCCCCAGCATTTTGGAAAAAAATAAAATAAAAATAATAATTCTTTTTTCTCCCATTTCCGCTGAATCGCCACGCCATTATTTTGGTCTGTCTAGACGCCAGATTGTCTGTCCGTTCGCAGGAGAAAGACACTGTCATCCTATATATCTTACATCACTTCCCCCTCCGT